AGCAAGCGTGGGTAGAGCCCTTCTCAAATCTTCGTTCGCGAAGCCTAGCCATGACCTGACGTGTGGGAAACAGGAGGGAGAACCAGCAGAGGACCTGAATCTGCCAGAGTCGATGGGGAGCAGTCTCTCTGCTGGGACCAGCCAGCCAAAATGGCAAACTCCTGCTTCTAGCTCATGGCTTTTCCTGCTGAAAACCACATCCCTGCTGTGGCGTGGGTGGTGTGGAATAAACAAAGCTAAAACTCTGCCTCCTATCTCTGCACCTACGACACTGGTTATTTCCTATCAGTTGAAGAAGGGAAAAAGAACCAAACAGACAAAAATCAGATTTGACTGGATTTACTGGAATTAAATTTGTATCCATCACCAACCTTAAAAGGTTTCTGAGTAGCTATATATATATATATATATGTATATATATGTGTATATATTCAACCTCTCTTGTATGGGTGAGAACCAGTTCTGTGAGATTTGATTACTGAGTGCAGAAACTTTGTTTCCACCCCATTTGCACTGCTTTCATTTCACTTTTTCACTTTTGTTTCTCCTTTTCTCCTTTATTGTCACAGCTAAAAGATCTGGATTTCAATATTTGTCTTCATTATTTCCCATGATCTTTCCCATCTATTGCTATGAAGAAGGTGTCAGCTTCAACCAGCCATTAGATCCTTTAGACTTGACTGAAAATCAGAAATGTTTAGATATGAACAACTCAAGTTTTGTTGTCTTAAGGCAGTTTTTGCTCAGAAATATAATTGTAATGCATATTCTTCCTTAGTAATTCTGTTGCCAAGGAAAACCATCCAAAATTTTTATTCTCTAAGAACCCTAAATGTTATGTCTTCACTAAATGAGTATGTGCTTCAGCTGTGCTCTTACACACTTTAGAAACACACAATCAATCTCAATACATCATCAGTACTGACACCCAGCACCTAGAAGACACAATATTTAGCTTAAACCATCTCACAGTTTTTGTGTTGCACATGACAGTTCAAAAGACTGGCAGAAATAATCACCATGACCAGAGATGTCCACACGATCAACATTTTACTGCAGTCCAACAGGAAAAGGAAGAGCAGTGAAAAACCATGAAAGCACCCTGAACAAGGCAGCAGCAAAAACCTCTGTCTGACACTGTGTGACACACGAAATAACCCCAATTAGGGGCACAGTCATCATCTCAGTGTTCAGAGCATGAGTCACCAGAAAGATGAATCACAGGCTGTAGTGACCAGAGCCAACTTGGACATGTATGGGAAGGCATCTGGAGGTGCTTGGATGCTCTGAGATGTGTGAGTTGTCAGTGTAGGACAGCTTGAAATGTCTCAGACCCAAAGGAAACCAGCACCTTGCTAGAGCTGCAGCTGAGGCTGAGGAGGAAACCCTGGAGGATCCAAAATGAAACTCAGTGGTTATGATGAGGAAACTGGATGGTGCCTGTGAAGATAGGCAGTAAGCATCTCAATCTAAATATCTGTGATGTCAATGCCAGAGTTTGGACTAGGCAATGCCTCCTTCTACAGGTAGTGAAGAAAACAGGCTCTTCAAGGTCCTTGTTTCTCTCTAGGTAACGAGGTGGAGTAGATCATCTACTAGGCCCATGACAGATACTGAATTCCACCACTTAGCAGTGATTCTGCTCTCCTCTGACATCCTAGGGTATGACAACTGTTCCCCAGCAAGCAGTGTCCTATGAAAACAGTGCTGCAGTTCAGAGCTCAGTGCTCAGCAGCCCTGCCAGAAATCTGCTCTACACCAGCTCACCTCCCTGTCTCTCGGTATGGAAACAGTTCTTTACATCAACTGAGATTAGGGCTTATTAGCAACCACAGATTGCTACTCTTCTGGAGCCATCTGATGACATGAAAATGCTGGTGAACTTTAGAATCAATCCCCCTATTTGGTCAGCAGAGAGGAAAAAACATTTTAAGGATGGAATTCATCTGAATTTTCCAGACCTCCTGGTGCTTCTGAAATTGTACCTTGAGGGTCTATTTCTCCCTGTTGTAAAGGGGAATGGCCTCCTACAGTTACCTCAGACCAACTACTGATAAACTATCCAATATTTATGTTTTTAAAGATTCTTAGTATAAAATCAGATCTGCACTGAAGAACACACAAATCATGAATCAAATCACCATTTAACATTATGAGAATTTAATCACCACAATTATGGGCTCAGTCTTAGGATAGTGGTCATGATTTTCCGTCATATTAGCTGTTCCCTTGGAACTGTTCTTGAGCTGGAAGGAAAGGAATGAACAGTTATATAGCACTGCTTTTTTCATGATAACACATATTAAACAGATTTTTCTCATTAACATGTATATACATACCAGACTATTAACAGAGAGCTGGTGAACAGAGATGTACATCAGACCTTTTAAGTAATTTATTGCTGCTAATTCTTCCACATTGGAGTAGTATTAATTCAACAGAAGGGCCTCGTTCTTTGTGGTGTTTTTCCTGCCATTGTGAGTTTCTTCAAAAAAGTTTCTTGCAATTCATAAGAAAAACATTTCCTCAAAAATCACTTTTAACATTTACAAAACGTCGTTACCAAAGAAGGTCTCAAATCAAGAATCTGCTTCTCTATTTCACAAAATTAGGTTCTAGAGTAACATAAACCATTTGTATCACTGTAATGTGGACCTAGGGCTTTATGCTTCCTTGTGCTAGTTGAGATCTGGTCAGGAAAAGAAGCTCTGCTTCCGCCATGCCATGGAGTGGACAGTACCTGAAGCAAAGTTCTGCACAGTGAGGTTTATAACCAGAGAATGTCACGTTCAACCTGCCTAAAGAAGAGTGAGGGAGGATGATGAATGTGCAGTGTTGGTTCCCTCTGACATGTCTCCCTGTAGTCTTCAATTTACTGCTTGTCCTCCTCTAGTTCTTCTTTCCTCCTCAGTGTCATGGGAGGTGAAATCCCTGTTCTATGGTGTCATGTCTTTACAGGAAGGGTGTGTTAGTCTGGGAATCACTACATTCAGACTGTCTTGTCCTAGAGAATGGGCTCATGCTCATCTGCTGGAGTTGCTCTGCAGCTCATTCTCCCATGGTGACCTGAACTACTCCTCATGAGGCCTGAAGGAGAGTTCTTAGACCCACATGTACTGGCCTAGGTATCTACAGGATACAGACAACCACGAGGAGTGTTCTGTGGAGGTGAATCACACACTGAGACACCTCCTTGGAGTGGTGCCTATGGGATATACTCATAGGCCTGTTCAGTCAGTCAAGAAACCGTGTCCTGTATTGTGTGTTGCCTATAAATAGGATCTGAATAGGTACAGTAAGTTTCATTTACCTAACAAAGGCAATTTTTGCAAGTTTAGACACGTTTGACATCTGGGACAATTGAACAGGTTTGGTAGGTAAGACACTGGACCAATATGAGATGTTTATGAGACCATTCCAATATGAGATGGAATGGCAATAAACCGGCAAAAAAACCCCCACAAAAACCCCCAAAGTTAGATATGTTTTGTCTCCTTAATATTCTAGTCTCAAGATAGTTCTTTGGCCTTATCGACTTTCCTGTTGTCTAAAAATAAACGTTATTCTTAAGATCCTTGCACACCACAATTCTAAATGACTCTAAAATTGCTAAGGGAGTTGTTTTGCAAATGATTAAAAGTAGCTACATGAAAGGAGATGCCAGGTGTTTTCCCCAAGAGGGAAATTACATGAATCACAATGTAGTCTAGATTGTTTACTGAGAAGACAGAAACACAAGAACAAGGGATGTATAAAAGATGAAGACGGAAACTCTCACACAATTTTATCAAGTTTTTTGAGTATAACACAGTGAAAGTCTGATTATATTCTACATCAGCTACACTCACCCACCAAGAAATAGTTAATGAATTAACATGGTAAGTTCTTTCAAGACCAAAAATAAATGAGAGAAAATATTTATGTTTTTCTTGGAAAATAGGTATGAATGAGAAATGTTGATTTACATTTCTGCATTTACAATATAGTTCTGCCTTTTCATAGTTTCCTTCTTTATGGAACATTCTGTATTCAAACATAAAACCATCTTTCATTTTCAACTGTCTTGTCCAAAGAAAAATGTATTTAATTTTAGTTTTCCTCCTTCTCTCGTGCAACTTATAAGAAAGAAAAAAAGGGTAAAAAGACAATAGAAACCATTTTCAATTACCGGATAAGACTTTTCTTTCTCTTTATAAAAAACAGTAGAAAAAGCAACTTTAATGGCAATAGAAATTAAAATTTAAAACAAGGAATAAGTATTTTTATGCTAATAAATATAGTGGGGAAAAAATGACAAATCAATTTAATAGTAAAGATCAGCTTATCCTCATTGTGTGGGTTAAATCAGGATGTCTTGCAAGTACCACCAGTGGAAATTTCCATCTCTCTGTTTTACCTCCTCAGCCTCATAGCTCGGAATAACCTTTGGTCTCATTGTGAGATTCAGAATGTTATAACCTTTACTGAGCACTGGAAGCTTTAGCACAAAGGAAGATGGGATATTGTTTTGGGCTAAAGTGGAAGAGAAGGAAAGCTAAGCAATAGTATAGCTTTGGTTACTCCCACAGATATAAACGTGTTTGTTTGTAATTTATGGTTGTGGGTGTGTTGCTGCACCTCTGGTGTAAACAGGAGTGGGATGAAAGGGAGAATGTGGATTCTGCATCCAGATGCATAAACACATTTGTGTTTCTGTGTGACTGCACATGTGTACATGCAAGTGCTCACCTGGATCCCTGAGTGACTGATGTGAGTGGTTTCAGAAGGGAAGGGTATTTGGGTGTGTCCTGAAAACAGTTTATGTGTCAGGTTGCTAGGTGAGTATCTAGACTTCCAAATGGAAAAATCTAATGTCTCATCAAGTCTGTCCAGGTAGTTTATAGAGCTATCTGAACTACAATCAGCCCATCTTATTTTATCATTCCATTGTCAGTGTCTGAAGATACTCATGTGCAGCATCATCCTCGTGGATTAAACTGGTGGATTTATTTTTTATTCAGATGGAGAATGAGGAAGACCTGAATTTGGGAAACAGCACAAGAGTAACTCACTTCATCCTGCTGGGTTTCACTCATCTTGCCCAGCTTCAGCTCTTACTCTTCGTGGTAGTTCTCTTTGTCTTCACAGTCACCATGACGGGGAACATTCTCATTGTCCTCATTGCAACTGTGGACCCTGCTCTTCATACACCCATGTACTATTTTCTTAAGAATTTGTCTCTGATTGAGATCTGCTACAGTTTAGATATTGTGCCAAAAATGCTGATAAACTTGTTGTCAGAAAGGAAGACCTATTCCTTCACAGCTTGTGCTTTACAATTGAGCTTGATCATACTCTTTGTCACGTCTGAAAGTTTTCTGTTAACAATCATGGCTTATGACCGATATGTAGCAATTTGTCACCCCCTACACTATGCTGCCATCATGTCCAAAAAGACATGTAGGCAAATGTCAGCAGTAGCTTGGCTTTCTGGATTCCCTGTAGCAGTTGGGATCACAGCTTGGCTGTTCAACATGTCTTTCTGCAAGTCAAATGAAGTCAACCATTTCTTCTGTGACATCTCACCTGTACTGAAATTGGTGTGCTCAGATACCTATATTTTTGAGCTTCTGGCATTCATTGCCACTGTGCTGATCATGGTGCTGCCTTTCATCCTAATCACCATCTCCTACATCTGCATCATCTACACCATCATGCAGATGCCCTTGGCTGAAAGCAGGCAAAAGGTGTTCTCCACATGTGCTGCTCATCTCATGGTTGTTACTCTGTTCTACTCCACAACCTCTTTAATTCATTTACATCCCAAGTCAAGCCTCTCACCAAACAACAAAAAGTTTGTGTCCCTTTCCTACACAGTCATTACACCGATGCTCAATCCCATCATATACAGCCTCAGGAACAGTGACGTAAGAGAAGCACTACAGAGAACTTTTGGCAGAAAAACGCTGTCAGAAAGACTCACCACATTATCATTATCATTTTTTTAATAGAAACTTCAGAAGTTTCAGACAATTTGTAAACACAATTGTCTTAAATTAAATGACAGCTGAATAAACACTTTAAATCTTGAAAAAGCCTGTTTGCCTGCAGAAATCTACTATGTTTTTATTTATTTTATTTATATTTATTTTATTTATTCATCCCTTTATAAATTTTCAGATTTTCCAGGGTTTAACAAACAAACAAAAAATTTCCACTATTATTTCCTTTGTAATATTTTCACCACTGTAAAATAAAAAGAAAGGAAAGAAAAAAAGATCTTATACATCCTGGTTTGGGATTCTTATCTTCTTTTCTTTGCCATCATTTAAAGATCATAGCTGGGATAAGACACCTTCACTAGATCAACTCCTGCTGAATTTTAACTGCCTAAAATTTGACCTTCAAGTCTAAGTTAATCAAAGCATGATCCCTTTCTGGATAATGGGAAGAATCAGTCACTTCTGGGGGGCAATCCTGCTGTATGTTCCCTGTCAAAGAGACACAGAGCAATCATTCTGGAGGAGTTTTTATTGCTTGACATTGGCTTAAGAAAGAAGATTAACACAGCCATCCAAGCTGTTCATTTCTGGATACAGTATCCACCCAGAGTGACTGGGTCACATCTCAATATCTAACAGATGAAGTTCACCAAGTCATATATTTTTGTCTTCTGATTTCTTTGGCAATGGGAAAGCAATGAGAAATGCAGTTCTATACTAAAGAACATGCAGACCAACTTTAAGACATAATACAATGTGCATATGTATGTAAGGAGGGAATATATATCTATAGAGAGAGGAACTATATATGAATATAGATTTATACACATTTTTATTTTACATATTGGTGTATATCTTGGTATATATACATATATATACATATATGAAAACATATTATAAATTATGTTTGGCTAGATACATTTTCCTGAAAGCATCCAGCCTAAAGACCATTTGGGCACCACAATACAAGAAAGATCTGGAGGTATTAGAGAGCATCCAAAGGAGGGCTATGAAAATGGTGAAGGGTCCGGAGAGGAAGCCAAACATGGAGAGCCTCCCTCCAACACATCATAACTGTGCATTCAGTCCCCACTGCCTCTTTGTTCCTTCCCTATTCTCAGATGCCCAGACAAGCTGTCATTCATGCTGTGCCTCCTATAACTGTCTTTAGGCTTCCCCAAAAGACCACCCACCACCTGTGCTGCTTTCACTATTGCTGGTCTTTTAAGGTATCTTCCAACTCAAACCAGCCTCTGGTTCTTTGCCAACCACTACATGTCCTGTTTACAGACAGCTCCTGGGATGGCAGCAGTGTAAAACAACACACACCTAACTCCTCCTTCTAGCCTTGGAGTTGATCTTAGGACAAAGGCTAAGTGCTCTGCCCTTGTGCTATCTAAAAGCATGAGACAGCTCTGCAGGTGTCTCCTGGTTTATGCCCTCAAAAAACACTTCTGCAGACTGAATGCTGAGTGTCCAGCAAATAAGTAACTATAATAAGTGGGTAATTCAGATAAAGGGAGTTTTCCTTTGGGTCATCTTAAATAAAAGCATGTTTGTTTTTCATCTTTGACTGTGTTAAGGAACATAAATATTTCTATGATTTTATATGCATAATTTTCTTGGGGTCAGGCAGTTAGTGAAAAAATAACCAAAACTGGTATATCAGAAGGACAACTAGATGGCAGAATCAATGGATCTGTGATATTTGTGTCTTATTTCTATGTACTGAAAATTGTCCCAAACATAAGTGTAGTATTTTACTGTAGCTGAGGTCACACCCACCATGTCCTTTATGCTATCTTGTCCAAGCTTGTCTTCCATGGATACCCTGGTCCCTCCACTCACTGAGGCAACCTCTCCTGGTTCTGCCTCTTTGCTTATTCCCACTTCCCACAACATAAAACTCCTTTCTCTAGAGAATCCACGATGCTGAAGGAAAGGGATGGCTGGATCTAAAGATTACAGCTCCTTTTACACCAGGGCTGAGGTCACCTCAGTGCAGCTCTGAAGGTGTAAATCACAGACAGGGACTGGGAGAGGCAGAGTCACCTCTCATTGTGAGCCAGTCCCACTCTGCCTCTGCAGAAATGTTCCTCGTGGTCTCCCTAGAGGCACAGCCCAACCCTGCAGTGTTCCTGGAGAAAGTCTGTGGGATCCAGAGCTCCATGGGGCAGATCAAAAACCTTGAATTCCCTCAGGTCAGCATCTCTCCAGAGATGTTTAATGGAGCCCTGAAGGACTCAAAGCCCAACAGTGGGCAGGGGCCTTTTCCCACCACACTTGGGAGGTGACACTCCCAGCTGTGGATGGGCAAAATAATTCAAACAGAAAGCAACAAGGGTGTCAAAGAGACCTGGAAAACAATGAATTTAGTGGGCACCTCACAACAGGCAAAGGCCAGATTTTGTCACCTTCCTCTCCCAGAGAAGCTAAATTTCATCGCACTGAAAAGGTTTGTGTTTCATTCATAACTCTTATATTCTCTTCTCATTTAAAGTGATTACAGGTTTTACAGAAGCCTGCATAGTTGGAACACTTCTCCCCTGCTCTAGTTGGAGGGACAATGTGAGAAACCACAAGAAAAAAAATGAGAAATACCATCAACTAATATTTCTGAAAGCTTTCATGGGAACACCAACTTGTCACCTTGAGTATTTCTTCTCTTCAAGCCTTCCTCTATTTCAGAATCCACAGTAGGTATTGCAAAAAAATGAATGGATTTTATTACTTTGTTCCACCCATATTGTTAAAGGTTTTTATCTCATCATCTCTGCTACATAAAGTAAACACTTCTTACTTGGTGCCATCTGGAAGAATTGATTGGTGTTTAGGTTTGAACTTCTCAAGGATCAAAAATTAGAGACTTTGTGACTGGTGAGCCTGGCACAGTGATAAACAAGTTATTTAGCTATGTAACAGAGTAGCTATTTCCATTAATTTCTCCTTTTTTTGTTGTTTTTTTTTTGTACTGGATTAGTTGAGTTCACCCTTGAACCAGAACTTCCTATTCAGTGGCTGAAACACTGTCTCACAGGAGAGGTCAAACGGTGCTGCTGAAGAAGCAAACGCCAAAGGAAACCGAGCCTGTTATTGCCTCACTTCCCCCATCTAGATTTGCCTTCAATGGTCAGCAATAATACAGATAATATCTCACTGACCTCACCATAAACGTTCAACGGCACCTGCACTACAAAACACTCCTCTCCTTAATCATCCTCACCGATCTTGAGTTTAACCACAAAAGAAACAGAAGTTTAATTGGAAGAAACTGTAAAGCTGCTTCTTCTGACATGCTGTTCCTCTCTGCTCTTGGACACTTACACCAGGATGAAGGCTTCAAACTCATGGATGGAACACACACCTGAAGGTCCAGCTCTCTGCTGCCAACTTCAAATGTCTCTCATGGCTTTGATCAGATAGATTGAAGCCCAGCTATCCTCTCCAACACTTTTTTCCTCATATCTCTTGAGAATGACAGATGAACAAATTATTCTTTCCAATGGGATTCCTGTGATCCAGATCATCTCTGTCTGACATGTCCATTCCTCTCTCTTGCCATATGAAGGCAGCAGTGCTGCAAGAGAACAGCTCCGTGGGAGGCATCTGAAATAAAATTTAGAGCTTAGGCTTGAGTGGAGAGCTTTGTTTTCAAGGCCAGTGGCTATTAAACACACACAGCTGAAGTGTAGCGGTGGAGAGAGTTGGCAGAAATCTGAAGCAGGAAAAAAGCACACTGAGCAGTAAACCATGAGAGGTCCATGAGGACAGTTCAGGTGAGATCAGAGTAGGAGTAAATGGGAGACTTCATGCAATGCCCAATTTACTACCACTTCTGAACGGATGCCCAAAGTTTGTGTATCTTGTGCCAAAGCAGAGGGACCTGTTGGACATGGTGATGTCCAAGCTGCCAAGAGGGGTACCTTGCTGTAAGACCTGGGTAGGATCTGTGGGAAGCATCTCCAGCAGCTCCCACCATGTCTCTCCAGTGTGGCTGAGACCTTCCAGGCACACAGAAATGTGCACCCCAGACACTCCAGCACATACACAGCAGAGACATTGGTCAAGGCACATCAAACACCACCAGCACCCACACCCAGGGGTCCCCCAACAACACTGAGACTCTCAGCCTGAGCTGACCCAGCAGCTGCCCTGGATCCCAGGGGTTCCAGTTTTTGGCACCTGTGCAGGGAAGTCCTTGAGGCCCCCAACCCCCCTCCAGCTGAGGGGACAAAGAGCCACTTGCCTCACACACAAACTCCTCCAAGACACGTGGGTGTGATGGATCCCCCAGTAACCAGCCTTAGATGCTCAACCTGGGCAGTATCCAGCCCTTGGATCCTCCCATCTCCACTTGCCTCACACACACAGTCACACACTCACAAGAATGGGGGTCACAGGTGATGTCCAGAGCTCATGGTCTCTGCCCTGTTTGTCTTGGTCCTGCTGTTCAACCCTGCAGAGTACACCTGGTTCCCAAACAAACTGATGGTTTCCAAGTCTCTTGCCCTCCTCAGGCAGACAGGTTGGCCTCCCCAGTTCCTGGCACAGCAACCACAGAGGCCCCGGGACTCGTGGTCCCTGCTCTGGTTGCTGGCGCTCAGACAAGACTTTAATCTTCACCCAACCACTCACCAATCTGCATCTCAGAGATGTCAGCTTTTCCTGTAGGGTTTCCCCAGAAATGAAACTGCCAAAGAACCCTCGGGACTGTCTTGGAAGGAGCCCTGGATTGTAGGCAAGTACCATAGAGCTTGATCTCCCCCTTTGCATGAAAACACCAATGGAGTGGGAAAAGCTGTTGCAATCATTGCAAGTGCTGAAAGTCTTGAAGGGAATGTAAAATGTCTGAAGTAAGGATGATGCTTGTTTGAATGAGCCTTGTGGTCTGGTGCTGGGAAAGGGAAGGGCAGAAGTGAGTTCTCAAGTGTGGATATGTGGTTAGTCAGGTGTCCCTGACCCTGGCAGGGGGCTCGAACGAGATGGTCTTTAGGGTCCTTTCCAACCCAAGCCAGTCTATGATTCTGGGATTCTCTGAACTCGTTTCAGCAGTGGAAGGATGTGCCTTGATTCACCTTGCAGAATTTTGGTCATTCAAAAGCCATCTAACTGGTACCCTCTGCTCCACCCATGTCAAGGCACAGGGGATGTGTCTTTGTTTTCATGAAGGTTCCCCTCCAGTTCATGCTCAGGTTCTGGTCCTCTGAGCACCCCAGAAGGGTGGGAGCACACACAGTCTCTGCTTTACAGAAACTCAGCCAGGTACCCATGTCCAAGATGAGATGTCCCTGGGATTCTCAGAGCACTCAGTTCCTGGGAAGCCTCCAAGTAGTTGGTGTGAGTGGAATGGCTCAGGTTTGTTTCTCTTCATGCTCTGTGTTTGTCTGAGGGCTCAGTCACCTCCCATCTGCCTCCTGGAACATCCCAAGAGGGGCAGCCCACATTGGCAGTGCTCAGCCTCAGAAGCATTGACCTGGTGAGCTGCAGCACAACCACAGCCACTCTGGCCCTTCCCACCTTTGGAACAGGAACGTACAGGGGGACACAGAACAATAGTTCTCTAATGGCATCATGAAACAGGGCCTGCACATCTCCCAGCCCATGTGCTCAGTACTGGGGTTGCACAGGCCCATCCAAGAGGTCACAAGCCTTGCTGAGGGTCTTCTCACTCAGGAAGACTCAGTCTCCCAGGTACAGTTTTTTAAACTTCCAGCCAAGAGAGGAATTGCAGAGAACATCAGCACTTTGCTGGAAACATCAGAAGGCTGAAGAGGAGTCTGGGTTTGCTGAGGTCATGTTGATGAATGAAAAGGGGAAAGCTGAAAGAAGAGGAGGGAAATAGACTTTTTCCAAGGAGTCTGGAAAACTCACAGAGCAAGTCTTCTCATAAGGCACGTTAGGGTACATGGAGCAGAGGAAGGGGATGGCAACAGTCAGTAAGTACTTCCCAAGTGGAAGACAGGTTTGACCAAGGTGATTTGCTTCTCTCCTTGTGGCCTTATGCAGGAAGGAGAGCAGGGAGTGTCCTTTACCTTGACTTTAGCAAGGCTCTGGAGGTTGTCAGGACCCAGCATGTTCTTCTCTGTGGGTTAGAATGTTAGGATCTAAATCAACAACTCGGTGGCTAAAAACAGGTAGGATGTTTGTGCTCAGAGAGTGCTGGTGGTGGTTCATAGGCCATACTCTACGTGGAGGCCTAGAACAAGTTCAGGCAGAAGAGGAGCTTTCCAATGCCTGCAATAACCACCAGGAAGATGAACCAGGCTCTTCACCGCAGCCAGCGGTGGCAGCAGGAGAGAGAAAGATAATGGGTGGACAGTGGAAAAGAAATTAAAAAGTCAATCTGCAAGAAGTAACTAAAAGTGCTTTCACCATGAGAAGAGTGGAGCATTGGAAGGAGATGCCCAGACAGGATGTCCAGTCTTCCTCCTCAGTGTCAGTGCCTTCAGTGCATTGCCCTTCCTGCAGGTTTGCCTGGCTGGGTTCACAGCAAACCTGGGGCTGAGTCCCTTCCAGCCTGAAAGCCTGGAGCCAGTGCTGCCAGGGAGGACCTCAGAGAGACCTCAGGTAGGGCTGCTGCCCTTCTCCTGGGGGCTGCTTGGAAGAGGACACTGACTCTGGTCCCCACCTGAGCTCCAGCTCCAGCTGTGTCTCAGCCAGGCCTGCACTTGGCCAGGGCCTCTGCTGGTGTGGACCTGGGCCCATGGACTGGCTTCCCAGCTGCACCTCAGACTATCCTCAGCACTATGGACTTCTCCAATCATCTAGAACACAAGTGCTTGGGGGTGTGAGTCTCCTGTTGGCCTTGTGCCTTAGCTACTGCGGTCAGGGATTTCAAATATCCCTGGACACCTCTGATGGCAGTCAGCCCCTCTGATAAGAACCAGGACCTCTGCCTGGCCCTGGTCAGCTCTCACCATTCCTATCAGAGGACAGGTGGGAAAAAAAGAAAAAAGAAGAAAAACCCCCAAACTGAACAAAGCCTCCTCAAGAATCCCAGGAGGGTGTGTCCAAAAGTCTCCAATGGGAAATGCACTCGATTGGGAATGGCCTATTGGTCTTGAAAGGAGAAACAGAAATTATACTCACAGCATCCTGGAATGCCTAAATAAGGAGAAATATAATCTTAGAGAAGTCCTAGAGAAATAGATAAGGAACGTAACTCAAACAGGATGCAAACTAAGCTCTGCGTACCCAGATAAGAGAAAGAGCAAATGTTACAGTTTTTGTTGGTGAAACACAATGATGCTGTGCCTGCTCAAGAACTGAGATCAAGCTAATGACGAAAACCCAGGACAAAAAAAGGACTTCCATGAACAGTGCAATGTAAATGAATATGTATTAGGTAAGCAAGAGTATGTAATGAATAAATAAACAGTGTGTATAATAAAACATCCTGTTTCTCTGTCCTTCGGTGCCTTTGATAAGAGTAGCTCTCCTCCTCATGTCCAGCACACTGAATAAAGAAAAATGTCTGCTTTTTAATAACTACAATTTAGAGTTAAGAAGTTTGTTTCTCTGCTTTTTGGTATCACTCTCACTGCTGCCTGCATACAAGGCACTGTGGGTACTGTCTGAACGAGCCCAAGTTTCTCCAGCTTCTAGAGGACAAAAACCAGAGAATGTGCAATGAACTCCCTCACCAAGCCACAGTCTGGGGGTTGTAAGAACAAAGGCAGCAAATGACACAAGCAGAGCAGGCTGAGGTTTCCTGTGTCAGCTCCACACTACATATATAAAGATGGCCATTCTGTACCTGCCTCCTGCCTGGCCATCACAGCTGCTTTGGCTCCTCAGGACAGTGGTAGAAGATGCTGCTTCTCCTGCTCCCAAGTGTTTTTCTCCTTCTACCATGGGCTGGGGCTGGTGAGTACACACAGATGGGCTTTACACAAGGACATGCAAGGGCTCAAATGGACACTGAGCAGGAAGTCTCAGGAAAAGTTCCTGCCTTGTCTTCTCTCCTATCTCTGCACTCCTCCTCTCCTCCGAGTTCTCAGCTCAAAGTGTGCCTGAAAGCAGTGATGCATTACAGGGATTAGAGCTGTGCCCTTTGATAGCATTGCAGTAATGCAGAGCCAGGTGTGGTCAGCCCTCCCCAGGCAGTGCTGCTTGTCCTTCTCTCCACTGTGCCCCAGCAATGCTTTGGACAGCCCAAGGATGGAGAGCTGTTGATATCATTTGCATATGATGTTAGAGGAGGACCCTCTCTCCTCATGCAGTTCCAAACTGTGGTAGGAAATATTGGCACATGTGATATTAACACTTCTCATCTCCCTTCCAGATAGGATCATTGGAGGAAGAGAAGTTAAGCCCCACTCTAGGCCCTACATGGCTTACTTACAAATTAAAAATGAGACAAATTCCTCTCGGTGTGGAGGGTTCCTGATTCGCCCAGATGCAGTGCTCTCAGCAGCTCACTGTGTGCATGGAAAAGGGTAAGACCCTGTGTTTCTTCTGTGTGGGATATTTTCAAGTCTCACATGGTCCTGAAGGGCCCCAGTCCTGGTCTGGCCTGAAAGAGTTCTCTGTGTCACTTCAGGCAGAGCAGGGGGCTCTGTGAGCTGCAGAAATTGTCTGCCAGGGGCTGTGTGCTCCTGGGGACAGGAATGCTCTCAGTGATCTCCTGGTCCATGGCTCAGAGGTACTGCTGCAAAAGAGGGGCCAGTGTGTCCCCTCCCCTGCTTCCCCTGTGTCTTCAGAATGGGACAAGTCAGACCTATGGGAGTGTGTGGGGAGGGACCCTCAGCTGAACGGTGGAAGGAACCCAGGTTACAAACGGGAATTTGCTGAGAACGAATCTCTGGGGAAGCACATCCCAGCACCAGCTCCCTCCAAGCTCCTGCCATGGGGCTGTGTTGCTGTGGCCAGTGCAACTGCAACAGGGTGGTGTTTCCTGGCAGAAAGGTGAATATCAATGTGACCCTGGGAGCCCACAACGTAAAAAAGAAAGAACTGAGCCAGCAGAAGTTCCATGTTGGATTTTGGATCACCCACCCCAAATACCAAAATACTGAATCTGGAAATGACATCATGCTGCTGAAGGTATGGTCTCACACATCCCTGCTGCCCAAGGGATTTCCCCCTGCTCACCCCACCATAGCCATGACCTTGTTCCCATTCCTTTGCTGGCTCTAACCCCATGTTCTCTCTGCTTGGCAGCTGAAGAAAAAGGCCGAGATAAATAAGTATGTGAAAACCATCTCCTTGCCCACTCACAACGAAACTGTCACACCAGGAACTGAGTGTAGTGTGTCTGGCTGGGGCTATACATCGCTGGAAGAGACTAAAACTGATGTGATGTTAGAGGTGGACCTGAAGGTGCAGATTATGAAATATTGCGAGAAGATTTTCAAAGGCTACTCGTGGAAGTCTATCTTATGTGTCGGTGATAGGAATGGCAGAAAATCAACTTACAAAGTAAGTGTTTGGATGGGGTTGGCACTAGACAGTCAGGTTGGTTCTCAGTTGGGGGTCGAAGGGCAGTAGAATGAACCAGGTTGTTCAGGAGGATGAGCTGAGGCTCCTCCCAGCAGCTCTGAAGCTGATGCGCTCCCTGAGCTGGGGTGCACTTGCCCAACCCTCAGCATCATCTTCCTTTTTACTCACTTAGGGATCTTCTACCCACGCCAGCCAGGGGTCCAGCAGCCTGCAGAGTTTGTGTAAATCCTTTGTCCTATCCTTGCTGGGAGTGCCCAGATACTCTCCTGTGTCTAAACTAGGATTAGATCCTTCCTTTCAGAGAGGTTTTGAATGTCAAATTGCTTCCCAGAAGGGCTCAGAGGAGTAGTGAGGCAGCCATAAACCCTGCAGAGCTGGGTCTGGAGGGAGGGAGGGGGTCAGGAGAGGAGATTCTTCACGTGGAGAGAGGGAAGTGGAACAGTTTGTTCCTTAGGGCAGGAAGAGCTGTGCTGTGACAGGTCTGACCCCTCTCACTCCTTTCTCTCCACAGGGTGATTCTGGAGGCCCATTAGTCTGCAATGAGAAGGCTCATGGCATTGTTTCTTATGGCTGCAAAGGAAAGCTCTTCCCTAAGGTATTTACCAGTGTCTCCTATTTTGAGCCTTGGATCAATGAACAGCTGAGGAAGTTTGCACTCCAAGATCTACCTGGCTCTCCCTCCTCTGATTAAAATGCTCAGTGCCCCTTCTTCACAACATCTGCTGATTCTCAGAGGCTTCCAGGGGCAGCTGAAACGGAGTCAGAGATGCCTTGCCAGGCACCTTTTCTGTACTAAGGAAAGTCTCCCTGGCAAGGTAAGAAAGCAGGTCCCAAGCACACCCAGTTTCCCATTGTTCCCTTCCTCCCACTGTTGCCCAATAGTGCCACCTCCTGCTCTGCTTTCTGCCCATCAATAAAAGCTTGTTCCAACTTGCTTGTGTGTGCTGCCTTCTTGGGAACGGGATGCAAAGCCTGAGCATGAGAAGGACGAGATGGCACTCCTTGGGAGAACCTGAGGGAGACAGTTGTTGGGACAGGCAATACAGACCTTTGTCCCTGACCTGCTGCAAATGCTCTCCCTTGTCTCCCTCAGCCTCTTGCACTCCAACCAGCAGTCAGATTCAGTGGCCTTTCCAAACGTCCATTTATTCAGCCTTTCAGAAACAGAAGCTTCTCTGCCTTCAAGGGGGGATCACGTGGCTTTCTATTATCAACTTGAAACCATCTCAGGATCCACAGACAGACTCAACACCAGCCAGCCTCACATCCCTTCTCCCCATTCAAGCCCCCTGAACCTCAGATAAAGCATTTTCTCTGCACCTGTAAAATGCCTGAGGGCTGAGGTGGAGAGATCTTCTCCTATGGGATCAGCTGATCAGACCTGGCTGGGCCTGGTGGTGCCCTCATGGTTTGGTGATGGGATACAGAAGGTCAAATATGACTAAGGCAAAAGCAGAATTGCAGAGAGACAAGCCTGGTCAGTCAGGCCAGGGAGAGATGCATTTCTTTTATGCAATTTTTCCTCTATGATCATTTATCCATCATGTGGATGAAGAGATAGAATGTACCCTCAGCAAGTTTGCTGATGATAAGAAACTGGGGGCACAGAAACCTAAAGAGGTACAACAAGGGCAAGAGTGGGTTCCTCCACTTGGGGAGGGATAACCCCAACTACCAGAACAAGTCAGAGATGACCTACTAGAGAGCAGCTCCGTGGAGAAGGACATGGGAGTCTTGGTAGATGACAAGGGGACCATGAGCCAGCCATATGCCCTGGGAACCAGGAGGGCCAATGGGATCCTGGGGTGCACCAGGAACAGTGTGGCCAGAAGTTCAGGGAGGTGATCCTGCCCCTCTACTCAGCCCTGCCGGGGCCACATCTGGAGTGCTGTGTCCAGTCTCCTCAGTACAAGAAAGACAAGGAACTACTGGAGAGGGTCCAGGGGAGGCCACAAAGATGATTAAGGGCCTGGAGCATCTCTCTGATGAGGAGAGACTGTGGGAGCCAAGCCTGCTCAGTGTAGAAAAGAGAAGACTGAGAGGGGATCTCATAAATGCATATAAATATCTCCAAGGCAGTTGTCAAGTGGTTGGTACCAGACTCTTTTCAGTGGTGCCCAGTGACAGGATGAGGAGCTGAACTGAGCTTCCACCACTTGGCTCCTCCTATGGAGTCCTGCTCATGAGCTTATTCTGGGCTGCTTTCAGGAAGGAGGAAAAATCTCTAGAAGAAATTTCATCTTCAATTCAGTGGAAAACGAAGAGAGACTGGTTCCACAGTAGTTCATCTTAGTAATGCCTAAATATTGTATGAAAAAATGGTCATTAGAGATCCTTCTAACCCCAAGTTAGACACCTTATTTCTTAGATAGTGTAGGAGTAGTGTTTTTGGAAGAATTTGTAGTGGGAAAGCCAGAAACTCTTTTTGCTAGGAAGGCTTTCTTCCTAAAAGGGAACTCTTTCTCAACAGTAGTTTCAATGCCTTCTCCACCCTGCATAGCAAGAGAAGTTCTCAGCCTCTGATATTTGAGAGGAGAGAGAGAACACACAGAAATGCTACAAGGGCACTGCGGACCAGGGAGAGTTGGTGGGACAGCAATTATAAGGCTGGGGAGAGAACAGGGGGTTTGCCTTTTTCTCCCTGGGGCCTGGTGTGTAAAAAGCACTGTCAGCTATTTGTAAGCTTCCCATGGTCAGCCTTCCAAACAAACTTCTTTAATTCTTCCCACTGCCTTGGCATTTCTGGGGATATCTGTGTATCTTACTTCTCAGACAGATTTTAATCAACACAGGGGAAGCAAGTGGTTTGAAATGGAATTCCAGGCACAATTTTGGAAGGTCAAAATTGAGTGGACAAGATAGAGTTATTTGTGATCTACTGGAAGTGATCATATTTGGGAAGATCTACAGTCTCAGGTAGCAGCACTCAAGGTTGGTGAAAGGCAAGCCCAGACACAGCTCCAGTCTCACAAGGCTGGGTAAATCCTCTTGCAGGCAGGTTCTGATCTCTCTTATGTTTGCCACGTTCCTGGAGGACAATCACCACAAATGCTCAGACATGCCACCCTTCAATTACTGTTACCCTTGCAACCAGTAACGTTGCCAGTGCAAAATCAGTTTGCATTCAGTGAACTCGGGTGGAAATTAGGTCTCAGTGTCTCTGTTTGAGGATCCATGTGCAGAAGGCCATGTCCAAACTACAGGCTGGGAAGACCCACTGTGCAATGTGATTGCTTTAATTCCTGACACTATTTCCAAAAAAAAAAGAAAAAAATAAAAAGATGGGGGGTGGGGAAAACAAAAAACAAAGAACGTGTCCTGTTAATCCTTTGAAGAACTGCAACCATAGATGAATTTATGGGATTTATTATGACAATTGCAGTATTGATCATTCTATCCATGTTCTGATGTGACTTTCCTTGTACTCTGAAATATTATCTCCTTTCTTTTCCCTTTTGTGGGTTTTTGGTTTGTTTTGGGGTTTGGTTGTTTGTGTGGTTTTGTGTTTGGAAGCACATCTGTCTCTCTGTGTCTGGTTTTTATCTTAGATTCAATATGTTCTGGTCAAGATGCAGTAATGCCTGTCTTTGTATCCCTACTAGCGTGAACCTGGAGCCCATAAAGTCTCATCTGAGCCAGGACAGCAAGGCCTGGGTTGTCTTTTGGCTTGAACTTTTGTCGTGGTTTTGCCCACCAGCCCATCCCTGGGGCTGAGGATGGTTTTGTCCAGGTGATTTCTGGACAAAAAAACCAATCAAAAAGTTCAGTGACACCTTTACTAATTACATCTTTAAGAAAACGGAAGAGAAGACCTGTTGCGCAGTTGAAATTAGGGGCAGCAGCCATGGAGAAGAAGTAGCGGGCCCGAGGAGGGTCAAGGCCTCCTCCTCCTCCCCCGACCTGGGCCGGGGAGGGGCAGGTGTAGTATTGAAGCCTTCCTTCTCTTCTGTAAAAGAGTGAAGAAAAAAAAGTTTAAAAGACAAACTGCTTGGACAGAAACCGCTGCAGAGAAATTCCAGCGAAGAGATAAAAGATTTTCAAAGTCAAAGTTGGCAGTTGCAGGAGAGAGAAGAAAAGTTCGAAGCAGGGAGAGCTGCTTTTTCTCCCTTTCGCTCTCCCTCTCTTCAGCAGGGTAAAGACTGAAAAATAAAATCCCTGCCACCTGTGGAAGTTTGTTGGGATGAAGAGACCCCCCCCATCTGGCTCACAGAGGAGCTTGTGGATGTACCAGAGATTTGTGACTTTAACAGAAAGAGAAAGCCTTATATTGGAGCAGAAGCGACTCGGATGAGGCAGAGTCCTGTTGAAGACTTTGTGACCCTTGAAGGGATCGATGCTTATGCTGGAGCGAGATGGCTCGAATAAGCTTGGGATCTCAGTGAGAGATCCATGTTGCTGGTACTGAAGATTTGTGACCCTGGCTTGGGTAAGCTTGGGATCTCAGTGAGAGATCCATACTACTGGTGCTGAAGATTTGTGACCCTGAGAGAACCTACGCTGGAGCAGAAGACGGTTCAGGTGGGATATTGGGATCCATGTGTGGGATCCATGCTAGACCATGTTGGAGAAGTCTATCAAGGACTGTTCTCCCATGGGGAGGGACCTCCATAGGGAAACAAAAGTGGACTCTTAAGCCATTATCCCCTGTAACCCTGTGGAAGAAGATCCATAGTAAGCAAGTGTCCCCTTGCAAGCCTATGGAAGGAGACCCTTCAGGACCTGGGTAACCCCCAACCTTCTGTTTTAACCCAGGAGCGGGGGTAGGCCCAGCCATGGAGGCCTACACAGAGAAGGAGACAAAGTTCCAGCTGCGATGAGAGTGCTGCAAAATTACTGGAGAAAAAAGGAGAACTGGAATTCCGAGAATGGAAAAGGACTGCTTCTCCTCCTTGGACTGATATAAAGCGAGGTGGGGGGAGAAGTATCTTCTGTAAATACATAATACCTTTTACTTAAGTAGAATTGTTGTAGACCTAATT